GGCACGGAGTCCGCACTAACGGGGATTTAAAAATGGCGGCGCCCGGCAAGATGCAAATGAAGCCCGGGATATTTAAATCCCGGGCTTCATTTGCAACTTCGAATGCCTACATTAGCCACCCTAGTTCGAACTAGGGTGGCAGTGTAGACATACCCTGAGGGATTTGGGTCTGTTTAGTCTACAGAAGAGAAGAGTGAGGGGGGATTTGAGAGCAGCCTTCAACTTCCTGAAGGGAGGTTCCAAAGAAGATGGAGAAAGGCTGTTCTCAGTAGTGACAGATGGCAGAACAAGGAGCAATGGGCTCAAGTTATGGTGGGAGATGTCCAGGTTGGATATTAGGAAAAACTATTTTACTATAAGGGTAGTGAAGCACTGGGATGGGTTGCCTAGGGAAATAGTGGAGTCTCCATCCCTAGAGGTGTTTAAGTCTCAGCTTGACAAAGCCCTGGCCGGGTTGATTTAGTTGGGATTGGTCCTGCCTAGAGCAGGGGGCTGGACTTGACCTTCTGAGGTTTCTTCCAGCTCTATGGTTCTATGATTGTATGGGCTCTAATGCACGAGGTAAAGCATAACCACCACCAGGCAGATTTGAACCGGCGATCTCTGGAGCAGTGTAGGTACCTCTCCAGTAGGAGCTATAAAGCCAGCTGGCACACCACTTGGGCTGTGGAGCTCCCTTGTTCTGCTCGCCCACTGTCCATGGTCTAAGTGCCACGACATAGGACAGTGAGCCACACTGGGGCTGTGGCATACAAAAGCACAGACTCCAGAGACAACTTAGCCAGGTCACAAGCTACGGGTCCCACGGCCAGATGCGGCGGGCCTGCCACCCGGTACGCACCACGACCTTCAGCTTCTTCTTCACCCCGTCAAACACGTACACGCCCCAGACGGAGGCCTTGACTTCGACATCGTGCAAGCCCAGCTCCAGTGGGACGATTACTAGTGGCACCGCCCGGGACGACATGGACGGGATTTCCAGTATCTGCGAGTATTTTGCCTTGGAAGAGGATGCGCTGCAGAAAGCTGGATTGTGGATCAGCTCCATTCGCACCTGAGAAGAGAAAGGGAGGGAAAGCGGCAGCTTTTACATAGAGTAACCAGAGGGGGCGCTGTTCGCTCTGTTACAAACCACTGCTTTGCTGACAGCGTCCCAGGGTCCAACCCTGCCAGGTGCCAGATGCTTTTGGCGAGCAGATGGGGCTCAGCATTTTGCCGTGTAAAATCCTCTGGCAAGGAGTTCCACAGGTTGACTTCACTGTGTAAATAAAAACTTCCTTTTGTTTGTTTTAAACCTGCTACCTATTAATATCATGTGGTGACCCGTAATTTCCTATTCAGTCTTTAGACCGACAGCTGAGATGGATGGCAACACGCCCAGTGAATGTTAACTGGCAGTCTGACTTCACCATGGATGGAAGTGGGATGATTATATCTGCAAGAACGTGGACAGTGGTATCTGCTTTCTAGCCACTGGTATCCACTGCCGTGAATGTGGATACAGGTCTCTAGAATTCATTTTTGTGGATCCAGACGCAGGTGCAGATGCAAATTTTATTTCTAGAATCCTGCAAATGTGCAGTGAGCCGCTTTATATCCGTGGGGATGGACATCCACCGATGGGGATGGGCATCGCTACTGCTCATTTTTGCAGCTGAAGATGCAGAAACTGTTTTTATACCCCGCAGTCCAGAGGAGGAAATGACCTCAGGCTTTCAACAAAAAAAAAATTGACAAGGGCACAAACCAAAGAGTCTTGAGCAGGCCTGGGCAAGAAGTGGCCCGGGGGCCAGATCCGGCCTGGCAAACACTTTCTTCCAGTCCTTGGACTGCATCTGGTCATTTTCTGTTTATATCCTGCCATCATTGCCACCAAATTTCCAGGCAATGGCTCAGGCAGCAGGATCTTATTTAAATGCCTCATGACTCCTGGTCGCAGCACTACCCTGGCAGGGATGGGAGCTGAGAGCCATTTAATAGCTGCAGTAACCCCGGGACGGCTGCCAGGCCATGCATTAGCAGAGGGGCAGGGAGCCCTTTGCTGGGTTTTTAATTCCAAGCCTCCAGCCCCAGACAACTCTAGTCCCCAGCTCCACCCCTTCTACCCAGGCTCCACCCATTCCAGGGGGTGGAGCTGACCCATGACCGCATACCAAAATTCATTAAGTGGCCCCCCTGTGAAAATTATTGCCCACCTCTGCTCTTGAGCAAAGCCAGCAGTGATGGGAGAAGAGAAAAAGTCCTCTCCTGGGTCAGTATCTGGTTAAAAGTCAGGCAATAATGCAAGTTGGGTTTTCAGAGCAGAAAGAGGGAAATAGCCAGGTTCCCCAAGGATCTGTGATGTGATTTGTGCTCTTGAACATAGGTATGCGCAGGGGGTGTGCCCAGGCACACCCTAATGTCTCCAAAAAAAAGTGGCTTTGCGTTTTAATTGAATCGTGTGATACGCTCTTTTAAGTAAAGTTCAGTTGTTAATTAAAAAAGAATTGAGTTTAGTTAAGTTTTAGTTTCTTTAGTTTGTTTGATGAATAAAAATAATGTCCTTTATGGTTGAATATTCAATAAAGGTTCGCCTTTAAAAAAAATTAAAAATAAAATTCCCTGGGTGCACACCCTAATGAAATGTGCTGCCACGCTTTTGCTCTTGAACATAGTCATGAATGATCTGCGAAAGGGGGTAAACCATAAGCCCCACCCCTTCCGGGAGCCCAGAGCCAGTACCCCCCTTGCCCAGGGGCCTGGAATTCTATTGGCCCCCCCGGGAGGGGGCACTCCATTTAGAAATTAAAATGTTGGCTGGGGTGTGGGTGGGTGCACCTCCCAAATGCTACCACCAGTCACCTCTGGGCTAGATGGACCATTGGTCTGTCCCAGCATGGCCAGTCTTATAGGTATGTTATATAACTGTGGGATTTTTTTTTTTAGTGTGTTTTTTCCCCGTGTTTTTATTTTGACGGATGGTGTGTGGCAAACACAAGCCAATCCTTGGCACTTTTCCTACTAATAATGCACCAAATTTGAGTCTCTCCGTGCCAAACGCAAGCCCAACCTGCTGCCCGCTAAGGATTCTGGGTAGTGCCGCCCAACCAGGCCAGGTTTGGCATTATATTAAAACTCACCACTAGAGGGCATGCAAGCCCACAGGACAGACATCCGTCCTTTTGGGAAGGGAAACGTTTTAGAAGAACCCCCAAGCAGCCCTTGCTCTGGGCACGACCGTTCGTAAATACACCCTGCCCACGGGATTGGCTTGACCCGATTGTTTTCAGGTGTCCATTTCAGGCCAGAATGGGCGGGGTGGGACCCCCGCCTTGGAGGAGACTGGGCCCAAGCGCTGCTCCTCTGCCCGGAACATGGCCCAAGCCCCTGCTCTGCTCCCTCCCTCTGAGGTCCCATCAACACCCCACTCCCACCACCCCAGTCCCCACCCCTGCTTAGCCTCCTCCCGAAAGGTCACACCCACCACTCATGCCTCTCTTGGCTGCCTCTCCCAAGAGGCTCCTCCCCCGGTGCCTGCTGCCCTCCCCTCTCTGCCTCTCAGAGAGTCCCTCATTTGCATATTTTTTTCCAAGAAAACTCGTAGCGTAGACGTACACACATAGAATGGCCCGGGTGAGGGGCTATTTTGAAATAACAGTGGAGCGCCCACACAGCCCCTTTTCCAAAATAGGCTTTATTCTTCATAAAATGAGGTTTACAGAAGTCAGAATAAGCCTCCCGTTATTTCAAAACAATGCTATTGCTCTGCAGACGCTGGCATTGTTATTTTGGAATAACAGCCTTTATTCTGAAATAACTTTGCTGCGTAGACACACCCTAATTGACCACTCCTGGACTGAATAGCCTGCCCAGTGCTAGGGTTGCCAGATGGTTTAACCAAAAATACCTCAAAAATACCACCTCTCCTCCCCACAAAAAAAACCCACTGGGGGAAAATTCTGTTGAGGAGAAAAAAAAGGGGGGGGAGGAGACCAAAGTTGTTGAGCAAAAATAAAAAAAGTGACCCTAAAAGTTATTAAGCAAAACAAATAAAATAAAATAAAATAAAATAAAATAAAAAAAATAAAATAAAAAAAAAAGCATTAAAACAACATGGCCGCTTTAGGCGTGAGAGGGGACAGGTTGAGCACTAAGACCCAGGGAAGGCATTGTTTCCCTTTGCTTCAGGTCTTTTTTGCCGGCAGCCATCTTGTTTTCTTGATCAAGCTCCCCCCCTTCCCCCCAGGGGACGGAGGTTCGGGTCCGAGGGCCCGAGGGAGGAGGACCAGGGGCTGGGCCCAGTTGCTGAGTGTGTTGTAAGGTTGCCAGGTATCTGGTATTTTTGCCTCCTGGTCAGGAAAAAAACCCAGAAAATACCGAACATTTTAGGTGTTTGGTATTTTCTGATTTTTTTTTACCAGATAGGAGGTGAAAATACCGGACTGTCCAGGCCAATACCAGACACCTGGCAACCCTACCCAATGCACCACTAAGGGTGCAATCGTGAAGTGATAATGGAACTGCCACTGGGCAGATTTAACCTGTAGTAGAGCTTCATGTAGGAGCCTCTACAGCTTGAATTACAAAGGCTCTCAGCTTAGGCTGTAGAGCTCCCTTGTTCTTATCTCTGGCTGTAAGTCGGGGTGGCCAACCTGCGTCTCGGGAGCCACATGCGGCTCTTCACCCCTGAAAGTGCGGCTCACAAAGCCTCCCCCACGGCTCGTGAAGCTGCCCCATGCACCCCTACAAACGGCCCCTGGCTCCCTGTGCTCACTGGGTGCAGGGGAGCTGTCTGGTGCGGCAAAATGGTGTCGGCAAGATGGTGGCAGCCAACGGGAGCCTGATGTGACCAAAAGCCTAACCCACGGTTTTTAAAGGGGCAGCCTCCTTTTTTTTTTTAAATCCCTCAACAATTCTGGTGCAGCTCTTCGCATTTTTCCCCCTCCTGTTTCAGCTCTCTTAGTTGAATGGGTTGGCCACCCCTGCTGTAAGTGGTCTACAGGCTACTCCATGGGACAGGGACCCACACTAGGGGCTATGTCTACACTGCCCCCATTCTGCCGCGCCTCATTTGCATAATTAACGAGGCTCCGTTTTTGCACAAAAACTCCCTCTTGTGCAAGAGCCATTCTTCCGCATTTTTTTCAGGAAGAATGGCTCTTGCACAAGAGAGGGTTTTGTGCAAAAAGGAGCCGTGTAGATGGCTCCTTTCTGTGCAAAAGCCTCTCGTGCAAAAACAGCCTAATTAATTATGCAAATGAGGTGCAGTGAAATTCCTTCCTTTGCCTCATTTGCATATGTTTTGCACAAAACGGAGCCAGTGTAGACATAGCCTAGTTGTGTGGGTTACACCGGCGGTGACTGTACCTTGAGTTTGTCTCTCACGTAGTTGTAGAGAACAGCCCGGATCTCCACCTGTTCGTTCCTCACCACAGAGTAGGGCAGCCGGAGGTCGATGAAAAATTCTTTCATCACTGTGATCTCATAGGGGTCGGCCACACAGATCCCTGCGAGGGGAAAGGACCCTGGGGTCAGAGGCAGCGGGCTTCGCTAGTGAGACCAGTTTGCTATCACCCAGGTTGTCACTGTGATGGTTTCAAGGCCTGTTGCTTTCTGGGGCTTCCCTCCCCCCCGTTAGATTTTCTCCGGGCTCACTTCAGCAAGCAGGCGGCGCTCCTCACCTTTGGTCTCCGAGATGCTCACAGCCAGCACCTCCCAGGTGGTGATGGAATCTGCCAGGGTAATAGTTATCGTCTTGGAAGAAATCCTACAAAGACAAGAGCCGCAGGGTCTCAGGAGAGGGGAGGTGGAACCCAGGCAAGGGCCTAAAAACCAAAATCCACCCCCCCTTGAGTGAGATTCAAGGCTGAGCTTAGGGTTGACAGATGGTTTCAACAAAAATACCGGACACACTTGACATTACGTCACAATCTACATTCCATCTTAGTTAGAAAATCCTGGACATTTCTATTTTCTCAATTTGTTTCCTGAACAGAAAGCTCAAATACTGGACTGTCCGGTTCAAAACTGGACACCTGGCAACCCTAGCTGAGCTCCTGACCATGCACAGACCTTGACTTCAGCACCCGTTGGGCCTACGTAGGTTTGGTGGCTTTGGTTTGGGAGCAAAATACAGCATGGAAGGATGGGCCAGGTCAAGAGCACTTGACTGATTTACAACCCCTCCAGATCTGGCCCTGCGAGAACTACCTAGCTATGCACTCTCCTGCCAGGGGGGAAGTAGCTTATATTTCTTACAGGCAAAGGTGAAAGGCAGCGGGGCTGCCCCAGCAATAGGTGGTGGAACTGCAGCAAAAGCCAGCAGGGAGCTGTTGAAAGAGCTGGTGAGGACCAGAGTTGCAATAAGCCAGGGCCTGTATGAAATGTTAAGTTACTTTCACCATGGCTTATGTAACCGACACACCTAGGCTGTGTCTACACTATGAGTTTTTTTGGCAGAAAATATGCTAATGAGGGACACATTAGCATGGGTCGCGACATCATTAGCATATTTGCTGCCCTTTCTTTTTGCGCAAAGGGTTTTTGTGCAAAAAGAAGCCGTAGGGACATAAGGATCGTGCGCAAAACGAGGTTTTTGCACAAAAAGGAAACGTCCACACGGCTTCTTTTTGCGCAAAAACCCCTTGCGCCAAAAGAAACAGCAGAAAATATGCTAATAAAGTTGTGACTCATGCTAATGAGTTCCTCATTAGCATCTTTTCTGCTGGAAAAACCTCGTTGTGTAGACGTAGCCCCCGTGTGGGTCGATGTCCCATGCAGTGGCCCTTAGTCCACTTATAGCGAGAGATAAGAACAAGGGAGCTCTACAGCCTAAGCTACACACCAGCTGGCTTTGTAGCTCAAGCTGTAAAGGCTCCTGCTCTGAGGTCCCAAGTTCCAGTCTGCCTAGTGGCAGTTACACTTACAGGTACTATCCTACTGCAACCTGCCGGGGAGTCAGAGTGGAGGAGGGTCATGACAGGCCAGGACCTGTAAGAAATTTAAGTGGGGAGGTAGGGAGGTATGGGCAGACGGGTGCTGAAGGCTGCAGAAGTTACTGGGGTTTTGGGGGTTGCAGGAATCAGCTGCCCTGGGGCACACTGGCTTTACTTGCCCCTTTGCTCTTACCCGTCTTTGTCCGGCTTCTGGGTCAGCTGCCACACATGCCATAACCAGCTCTCTGGAAAGTGGCTCCTCGAGGTAATAGACTCATCTTGTAAGAATCCGTCATCAGTGTCACCTGGGGCAGGAGAGCCGGGGCAGTCAGCTGAGCCGCGAAATCCCCACCCCCATGCAGTGAGACTCAACAGGACGGCAGTGATGTCGTGGCATGAACCACTAGGTTTTGAGGCCCCCGTGTTGTGGAGGTGGAGCATAGACTCATAGAAGCCTAGAACTGGAAGGGCCCTTGCGAGGTCATCGGGTCCAGCCCCCTGGCCTCAGGGCAGGACCAAGCACCGTCTAGATCAGTGGTTCCCAACCTTTTCCAGAGGGGGACCCATTTTGACAATTCAGGAAGACTTGGTGACCCAGAGCAATTCAAAAATGGGGTGAGGAGGAAGGGCAGAGCCACCTGGGGAGACACTTGGCGACTCTTTTGAAATGTAATGGCGACCCATATTTGGGTCCCAACCCATAGGTTGGGAAACCCTGACTAGACCGTCCCTGATAAGTGTCATAGAATCATAGAATCACAGAGCTGGAAGAGACCTCAGAAGGTCATCAAGTCCAGTCCCCTGCTCTAGGCAGGACCAGTTCCAACTAAACCAAGTGTCTGTCCAACCTGCGCTTACATATCTCCAGAGATGGAGATTCCACAACCCCCCTAGGTAATTGATTCCAGTGTTTAACCACCTGACAGGAAGTTTTTCCTAATGTCCAACCCGAACCTCCCTTGCTGCAGTTTAAGCCCATTGCTGCTTGTCCTGTCCTCAGAGGCCTAGGAGAACAATTTTTCTCCCTCCTCCTTGTAACACCCTTTTAGATACTTGAAAGCTGCTATCGTGTCCCCTCTCAGTCTTCTCTTTTCCAAACTAAACAAACCCAGTTCTTTCAGTCTTCCCTCATAGCTCATGTGTTCTAGACTTTTAATCGTGTTTATTGCTCTTCTCTGGACCCTCTCCAATTTCTCCACATCTTCCTTGAAAGAGGGGCCCAGAACTGGACATAATACTCCAACTGAGGCCTAGTCAGCGTGGAGTAAAGCAGAAGAATGACTTCTTGTGTCTTGGTGGCCAGCTGGCTGGGGGAAGGCGCTAGCCACCCTGCATGGGGCTGCCTTATTTCCCCAGTGTTAACTGCTTTTCTTGGGTGGCTGCTTCCCCCCACGGCCAGCCCTGTTCAGCTGCTGGGCTGGGATGCCGGCCTCCCTCAGCGAATGGGATCAGGGCTGGCCCGTGTGGCCCCATATCCTTCCACTGCAGTGACATTAACACCCAGCACTTGCTTCTTGCCAGTTCCAGGTGGAGCTCCCGCTGCCGCTCGTCCCGCACGGTCTTGATGTAGTTGCAGCACTCTAGGAAGGCCTGCCGGCACTCGGCCGTGTCCAGGATGTACCCAGCCCGCTTCTCACAGCTGTGCCCCATGGGGTTCTCGTACATCCCGTCCTCGCAGCATTTCTTCAGCGTCCGGTCCTGGTACGCTGCCGCTGAAACGCACAAACCACAATGGCTGGCCTCCCGAGCTTCTGCTGGGCCTGTGGTGTCCTACAAAGCCTAATGCAGATGAGCCAATAGGGCGGACACGTGCACCTGCTCCCAGCCCTCCCAGAGCGTATGTGACCCCAATGTAGACATCCCTGCGGTCGCACTCACCTCCCAGGTGTTTTGCCTCCCCGTTTTGCTGATCCCAGAAGAGGACCCGCAAGGCAAATGCCTCTTTCCAGTTTCTCCCAGCCTTGTTGCCCTTCCCCACCCCTGAGCACCCTCCCCTTCGCTGGCAAAGGAGGGGAGGCAGGCTGGCACAAAATACACCTTTGCTGATTGGATGAGGAATTCTCACCCACCCAAGGGAGTTTTCCACATGGTCTTGACT